TCCCACCTTCTCTGCCCGGTGCGCATGCTCGCACGATATGTGTCACGCACTTCAGGGATTTGCCACTCACAAAGCCTGTTTGTGCACTACAGAGACTCTTCCCTTGGGCAAGTGCTGTCGACCCAGCGTCTTTCACACTGGCTGTGTGACGCCATTTCACTCGCTTACACATCATCAGGGCGGGATCCTCCTGAGACACTCCGGGCTCACTCAACCAGAGGGATTTCCTCTTCTATGGCGCTCCACAGTGGTGTGTCGATGGAAGACATTTTTCAGGCTGCTTCATGGGCTTCCCCATGTCCCTTTACTCGTTATTCACGAGATGTGTCTTCAGGTTCCATCACTTGTTCAGTGCTTGGACCTCAGCAGGCTGAGTGAAAGCATTATGGCACCACATCAGCCCTACTTGAGTGAATTTCATCCTCTTGTGGATGATAATTTTAGTGGGGGCCCCACTCTTCTCTCTGGCTGCCTCAGCCTTTTAAGCCCTGGGCTGAGGCTGAGCGGCCCTAGCTAAAAGGAGACATGTTGGGTGTGTCCATTTGGTTGAGCTAACCAGTGTGGCGTAAACCCATCCAGCTGCGCATTATTCCAATAGCAGTTAGCTTAAGGGCTAAGACTAGACGAAATAGAACGTTGGTTACGTATTGTAACCCCAGATTCTATGAGTCTAGTCGTAGCCCTTAAGCCACTGGCCCCACTGGTTCTGTTAGGACCAAGAGCCATCGGAGGTGAACAGTGGAGTCGCACACAAGGGGTGCCCACCATTGGTGGGCGTACATTTAAGCTCTTCATGATTGGCTGATGCTGAGATCATCCTTCCAATAGCAGCTAGCTTAAGGGCTGCGACTAGACTCAAAGAATCTGGGGTTACAATACGTAACCAACGTTCCTCTCACTATGGATATCAAAGCTAACAAACAGGTTGAATTTAACCACTCACTAACTAAACCCACCTTTCTTTGAGAAAAACTGTGTGACATACTGCTGCCCTCTCTTCTGCCTGTCCTCTTTCTCCTTTCTTTCTTTCCTTTTCCGTGACCCAGACATATTTTCACTGCAGCCTCTGCTGTCTGACTGCTGCGTGAAGCTGGCCTCGCCTGCTACGCGCCCCTTGGCCAGGTGGACTGTACCATTTTATGCCGTTGGGGGGGGGGGGGTTCAAATTAATTAGTCAAAATAAAGTAGGGACCTCTGAATAAATATACATTTCATAAAGACTAAAAGATTGTTTGTTTGATGTCTTAAATGAGCAAAAATACTGCAAAGTAAAGTACTTGTGATTTTTAAACTTTATTTATTTTTTATTCAACTTTGAAACTTTTTTGGGCCCCTGATGTCAGATTGGTCAGCTGGATACGGGAGTTGAGCTTGTGGAGAGCGTTGTCTCACAGACGCGGAAGTGATAGCGTTGGTGAAACGCCGGCTCTCGGTTTAATCCCGAGAGACGTGCTTCAGCCCCCACTTCGTTACTGGGTGGAACGAAGGTCTTCCTGAGGGCGGCCACAAAAGCAGCATAGTCTTTGCAGGCAGGGGATTTAGAATTATAAAGAGCAGCGGCCCACTCCTGAGCGCGTCCAGAAAGCAGGGAGGTGAGGTGCGCAACCCGAGAGCGGGCAGTGGGGAAGCGTCCCGGTTGGCACTCGAATTGCATATCAAGGGAGGCGAGCAGACCATCTGGGCTCCCAACCTCTCCATTCCACCTCTCCGGTAGGCTGAACTGCGGCTCCTCCTTAGGTGGAGAGAGGACTTGCTGCCGGAGAGCATTCAGGGATGTGGTCAACTGAAGGGTGAGGTCGGTCAGGGAGTTCACCTTCGTGTTGAGCCGATCGACAAAGGCGTGGAGCTGAACTATCCCCTTCTTCATTTGCTCAAACTCTGCTGGGTTGATGGACTCAGTCATCCTGTCAGACTGGTCGGCTGGATACGGGAGTTGAGCTTGTAGAGAGCGTTGTCTCACAGACGCGGAAGTGATAGCGTCGTTGAAACGCCGGCTCTCGGTTTAATCTAGGAATCCCCGAGCGTTCGAGGATCAATGAAGTGATGCGGAAATGCTGGGTTTTCCCGAAGTAAGAAAGAACATTTACTGTGAGCTGAGAGTTCGTACGATGGATCGGTTGCTTGGAAACTCTGATCATAGATCTGAAGAAACAATGACTGAGTGGTGAGCTGGGGAGGTGACTACCGTATATAGTCACGGTTCGTGACGTAGGTGCGATGTGGAGGGAATCCCTGCGAGGGGCATGCTGGGAGTTGTACTCCATGGTGGATGCCGGCTAGCTGGGAGAGGTTGGTTTGGGGACTTGGGTTCTGACAGGACCCCCCCATCCAGGGACGGCTCCTGAAGTCCCAGGGCGGCCCCGGCGGTTCCAGAAGTCAGAGATCAGGGCATGGTCCAGGATGGAGCGGGCCGGTTCCCAGGAGCGTTCCTCTGGGCCGTAGTCCTCCCAGTCCATGAGGTACTGCCATCCGCGACCCCTGCGACGGATGTCCAGGATGCGCCAGATGTTGTAGATGGGCTTACTGTTGAGGAAGCGGGCAGGCGGAGGCGCCGGAGGCGGAAGCAGGGAGGATTCCACATAGGGCTTGAGTCGGGAGATGTGGAAGGTGGGATGAATGCAGAGAGTTGTCGGTAACCGCAGCCAGTACGAGACTGGGTTCATGACCTTCTGTATTGTGTAAGGCCCGAGGAACCAGGGAGCGAGCTTTTTGGACCCTGCACGGAAGCGGAGGTCCGCGGTGGACACCCAGACCTTAACCCCAGGGACATAGGAGGGACAAGAACGGTGTCGGCGGAGATGTTGGCGAGCGTAACGGCCGTTGACTCGGGTGATGGAAGCTCGTGCTTTGATCCAGGCATTCTTGCAGCGCCTCACTAGGGATTGCGCAGCAGGTACAGCAACTTCGGGCTGCTGGTGGGCGAAGACCGGGGGTTGATTGCCATAGCAGACCTCGAAAGGGAACATATGAGTGGTTGAAGAGGTGTGAAGGTTGTGGGACAGCTCTGCCCAGAGGAGGTTGTTTAGGCCATTGCGAGGGTTGGGCCGAGACAAAGCACCGGAGGTACCAACCTAGCTGTTGGTTAGCCCGCTCTGTCTGATCATTGGTCCGCGGGTGATAGCCTGAGGATAGGCTGACCAATGCTCACTGTCAGGGACCGAGCAGTAAAACTCCAGGACAATGGTATAAAAAGAATATCTTCTCTATTTATTTCATAAAGAATTAAACAAAATCAAAACAAAACCGGGCCCAAAGGAAAAAATGGCAACAAAAATAACCTTAACTAAAAGTAACAAGCAAGACTCTCAAACTGAGACACACAGGGGAATTTATACACACAGGCTAGCCTACAGACAACGAGGGGGGGAGAGACAGGGGAAACACTAAGACAAACAGTAAATAAACCTAGGAAACTAAGTCAACAAAGTAGAACTACCACAAAAAAGCTTTAACTAATACATCCTAACAAAATCTGGTAAACTCAATAGAGCTTCAGAACATCTGGTTTCTGGTTTCTTCATTATCAAGCTCCCTGCTTCCAGGAGCCAGATGGAATGTTCCACTTCCTGCATGGAGTTACACTGGGTGTGTCCCCTCTCTCTGCCAGTTCATCCAATCTCAGAATACAAATGATGATAGTTAATGATCAAAAAAACTATGTGCAAGATAAATTACTAAATGTGTGCACCCATTAGTAAACTTACAATATTGCAACAAAATGAAATAATAAACCAGCGTGTGGAAAAAAGATATTTAAATAATACTGACACTGAGAAATGGCTGGAGGAACCTCCACACACTCCCCCTCCTCTGGAAACTCCATGGGCCAGCTGGACAGGTAGTCAGCAGTGGAGTTTTGCTTCCCAGGTATATGATGAATCTCAAACTGGAAGGCTTGCATCGCCAGGTACCAGCGAGTTATTCTGCTGTTCGAGTCCTTCATCCTCTCAAGCCACTTTAGAGCCTTGTGGTCCATTTCTAGGATGAATCTTCTCCCCAACAGGTAGTATTTGAATGAATCCAAAGCCCACTTAACAGCCAGGCACTCCTTTTCTACTGTTGAGTAGCGGGTTTCCCTTGGGAAAAGTTTCCTGCTTATGAAAGCAATCGGATGTCGTCTGTCTGGAGGCCCTTGAAGCAACACAGCCCCTAGGCCACGATCAGATGCGTCCGTCTGCAAAACAAATAGTTGTTTGAAGTCTGGACAATGTAACACTGGAGGTCCACTTAAGGCATGTTGGATGTCCTCAAATGCCATCTTCGCTTCGTCTGACCACTCGAGCTGGTTAGATCCTTTGAGGCTGGTCAGATCTGTAAGCAGAGCAGCTCTGGCAGAGAAATTAGGGATGAATATATGGTACCAACCCGACATGCCCAGAAATGATCTCAGTTGCTTTCTGGTTTGTGGCAAAGGGCATGACTGAATGGCTTGAACCTTTTCAATCTGAGGCTTAATGACTCCATTGCCAATAATGTGTCCCAGGTATTGTACTTCCTTCTTCGCCAGCATGCATTTAGCTGCATTCACAGTCAGACCTGCAGTGTGAAGACACTCAAACACAACTGTGAGATGTTCAAGATGTTCCTCCCAGCTGTTACTGTAGATGACAATATCATCCAAGTAGGCAGATGCAAAGTGAGATTTTCCTTCAAATACCTTGTCCATAAGTCTCTGGAACGTTGCAGGTGCTCCATGCAGCCCAAACGGCATGACTGTAAACTGGTAAAGGCCCCAGGGTGTTCTGAAGGCAGTCAGCTCACGGGATCTAGTGGCAAGAGGAACCTGCCAATAACCCTTGGAGAGATCAATGGTGGTAAGATATTTTGCTCTGCCAAGACAACCAATTAGGTCATCAATACGAGGAGTTGGGTAAGAATCAAATTTAGAAACAGAGTTCAGGTATCGGAAGTCTATACAGAACCTCAAGGTGCCATCTTTTTTCAGTACCAGGACAACAGGATTGCACCATTCACTCTGGGAGTTCTCAATAATTCCCAGAGATAGCATCAACTCAATTTCCTCCTTTAAAGGCCCCAAGAGGCGCTCAGGGATCCTGTAGCTCCTTCGTTTTACCACTGCATCTCCTTTCAAAAGAATTTCATGTTTGATATAGTCTGTACACCCAGGATTATCTTGAAAAATATTGGCATTACAGATGGCCCTCACCTGTGACTGCTGCTCAGGGGACAGATGGCTCAGGTCAAGCCCAGAAGTCACCTGTAGAGGGAGGTATTGTTCTTCCACCTCCTCTTCTGTCACACTTCTGATGAGAAAAACATCTTGTTTCTCCCTTTCCTCAGACCTTGAAATCCACTCCTTCAGGAGATTAATGTGGAGGACTCTGGTACTACGCTTCTCACCTGGACTACAGACTTTATAGGTCGTGGGACCGAGCTTTTGAATGTCCTTGCCACTGAGCCAAAAGCTTACTGTCTTCAGTGGGTAGTAGAACCAAAACTTTTTGACCTGGTTCAAAATGCCGCTCTCGAGCAGTTCTGTCATACCAGGTTTTTTGTTTTTGCTGGGAGACCTTCATATGCTCCTGAGCCAAGGTGGTCATCTTCTCCAGCTTGTCCCTCATCTGGAGAACATATGAAACTATGTTAACAGGCTCCTTTCCAGATTTCTCCTTCTCCCACCTTTCCTTTAAAAGCGCCAGTGGTCCTCGCACGTCATGCCCAAAGAGCAACTCAAAGGGGGAAAACCCAGTAGAAGCTTGGGGAATCTCTCGATAGGCAAACAAAAGGTATGGGAGCCACTGATCCCAATCAGACCTTTGTTCATTGATGAACTTACGAAGCATGTTTTTAAGGGTCTGGTTAAATCTCTCTGTAAGGCCATCAGTTTGTGGATGATATGGCGTTGTTCTCAGCCTACTAATACCAATCAGCTTGTACACATCCTTGAGCAACTTGGACATGAAATTGGTCCCTTGATCTGTCAATATTTCTTTAGGGAACCCAACTCGTGCAAAAAACTGAACCAGGCAAAATGCAACAGTCTTGGCTTTAACAGACTTCAACGGAAACACTTCTGGATATTTTGTGGCATAATCAGTAATAACCAACATAAATCGGTTACCTGATTTGCTTTTCTCCACTGGGCCCACAACGTCCATCCCCAAACGTTCAAATGGTGTCATTATGATGAGAAGAGGCTGTAGGGGAGCTCTTGCTGCGAATCGGGCTGATGTTTTTTGACACTGAGGGCAACTCCTGCAAAAACTGGCAACATCTCTGTACAATCCCGGCCAGTAGAAATACTGTTGGATACGGGCTAAGGTCTTATTTTTCCCTAGGTGGCCAGCCCAAGGAATTGAATGGCCCAAAGATAAAACAGTTTCTCTGGCTGCTCTAGGTACCACAAGCTGTTTCAGTTCTCCATGTTGTCTATAAAGGATGCCATTTTGCAAACAGAATTCCTTTGCAGTCCCACCTTCTTCAGCTCCCTTAATAAGGTCAGCCAAGCCTGCATCCTGATGCTGCAGCTCAAGAATGTTGTCAGGAATTTAAAATCTTAGCTGTACCTCAGGTTCAGGTAACAGAGTGGACACTGTTGTGTTTTTAAATTTGTCCCGTTTGCGCTGCCTACGAGACTTTTGTTCTCTAGTTGGGCCAGCTTCAATCTCAGCCCCAAAAAATGGTAAAGCTCTTAAACTGCGATCATCTTCCCTTGGAGCTTTCAACTGAGACCGTGTTATTGCCACATTGCACATTTTAGGATCGTTAATCAAGTCAGTGAGAACTGGTAAATCATTCCCCAAGACAACAGGAAATGGTAATCTGTCCATGACACCCACATTTAATAGGTACACATGTCCTTGCACTTTCATATAGACGTCCGCTGTTGGATATTGTTTTTCATCACCATGCACACAGCAGATTGGTATTGTTTCAGAAGTGCAGATGTGAGCTGGTGAGACGTACCTGCGATGAACCAGTGACTGGGTGCTTCCTGTGTCAATCAGAGCCTTAACTTTCTGTCCATCTATCTCCACTGTGGTCTCCACCAACAGCTGGTTCATTGGGTTTGGGGCATGGTTCCCTCTGGGCACAAAATACATCTGGGAGAGTTTAGCTGGATTTTGTGGACACACCGGTTTTGTGTGGCCTTCTTTCCCACACAAATAACAGACAGGTTTCCGCCCCAGATTTTTTGTTTGACTGGGAAAATATTTCTCCCTTCCACATGGCTTACCAACATTCTCTGTCGGACTGGTGTTACCTGGCGCAGGGGTATAATCCTTTTTCATAGCCTTATAAGCCCATGATTGGTTCCTTCGACGGGCTGCCACAAACGCATCTGCCAAAGAAACTGCCTCTGCTGCGTCCCTTGGATTACGCTCCTTGATCCAAACTTGGAGTTCTGGCGATAGCATTCGGAAATACTGTTCAAGGATTATTGTTTCATTAATTTCATCAATGGTCTTACCTCTGGGTCTGACCCATCTCCCATAGAGCTCCTTTAGTCTCACAAAGAGTTCTCTGGGGGACTCATTTGGTTCAACTTGAAGAGAACGGAACCTCAGACGATAAGTCTCACTGCTTATTTCATATTTCTGCAAAATAGCAGCTTTAACATGATCATAGTCCATTGATGCATCCACATCCATATGTACATAAGCACTTCTGGCTTTACCCGTCAATAGTGGAATCAAATGGAATGCCCAGTCAGATCTCAGCCATCTACATGCACATGCTATTCTTTCAAAAGTTATAAGATAATGCTCAATGTCATCCTCTTCACTTAGCTTTTGCAATCTTGGTTCTTTATCGGAAGGATGAACAGAAACTGAGTCACCTGATTTTGAACAGCGTGGTGCAGGCTCCGGTTCCACCTCATCCCAATCAGCATAGTCATGAGGCCTCTCATGGTCTGCAGGCCCCAAACCTGCAGAGAAGCGGGCGTGGTCTTGCTCTCCAGGTAGCAAGCCAGCAGAGGTCTGGGCCTGAAACTCTTGCTGAAACAGACTGAACTGGTGTTGAAGATCTTTAAATCTTTGATCCTGGCGTACAATCACCTTCTCCCACTGTACCTCATGGGCTTCCTGTCGTCCAATGTGAGCTTGAAGGATGCAAGCCAGGTCTGATATTTTTGGCTCTCTGCCATGAACTTCCTCTTCAGCAGAAGCTCCACAGCCCTCACTCCCATCCTCTGTCTGTGCTTCTCTCTCTAAAGGGGCTGACTTGCTTTTACCAGATTTGGTTCCCTTCATTGTAGATTCGTCAGGATAAAAGAAGAGAAAAAAAAATTGGGAGAATCTATTTACCAATGTCCTTTAACTGGAAGATCCCACCTCTGCCACCAACTGTCAGGGACCGAGCAGTAAAACTCCTCCATAGCTCTGGTTTCAGAGGGAGAGAGAGAGAAAAGGTGCCCACGGGGAGGACTGGTACCTGGTTGTAGCCTGATCTCCATGTCATATGGGCGGTGAGGCAGCAGTGTGGTGGCGCGTCGCTTATCGAAGACTGCAGCCAGGTCTCAATAGGGTAGTGGCGGATTGGGCGGTAGAGGACCAAGACCACCAGCCGGGCGGTCTGCCATGGACGGGAGAGGGAGAGAGGTGGGCCTGGCACTGGGTCCCCCAGCCTAAAAGGCGGTTCTGGGACCAGGGAATCTGGGGGTCGTGGAGACGGAGCCAGGGGAACCCCAAGATTAGAGGAGAGGAGGGAGCAGAGATGATGAGAAAGTGGAGGGTTTCCCAGTGGCCTCGGAGGACCATCTGGAGAGACTGGGTTCGGTCTTGGACAGGATAGGGCTGGGGAGGTCTGCCGTCCACCGAGGTCACCGGAACAACTCATTCCAGGGGAGTCAGGGGGATCCGTAGGCGTTTAGCCAGATCCACATCCATGAAGTTGTCGGCGGCCCCCGAGTCCACCAGAGCATGTACCTGATGTGAGGTCTCATCGTGTAGGAGGGTGACAGGAAGGAGGAGTCAGTGGGAAGAGGTAGAGGCAGAGGGTGACCCGGGCTGAGCTACCCCGATACTCAGTGGGTTCCTCCGTTTCCCGGCCGTAATGGGCAGTCCAGGTGCCGGTGGTCGGGAGAGCCACAATAGGCACAGAGACCCTCGCACCACCGTCGCTGTCTCTCCTCCGGGGGAAGGTGGCCTAGCTGCATAGGCTCCTCAGTAGAAGTGGGTCTGGAAGCTGGAGTTGGTGAACGAGGAAGAGGTCCGTGCACTCTGAGTGGGCGAGTGGATGATCTGGCTCGAACCAGAACCTGCTGGTCGATGCACAAAGCCAGGTCGGCAATCTCATCCAGGGTCTGGGGTAGTTCTCTTCCCACCATCTCGTCTCAGATGTAGGGCGCCAACCCCTCCAAAAAAACAGCTCAAAGGGCAGAGTCATCCCACTGTAGTTTGGCCGCGATGGTGCAAAACTCTGACGCATAGGCGCACACAGAGCGTTCACATTGGCGGAGCTTTAAGAGACGTGCTTCAGCCCCCACTTCGCTACTGGGTAAATCGAAGGTCTTCCTGAGGGCGGCCACAAAAGCAGCATAGTCATTGCAGGCAGGGGATTTAGAATTATAAAGAGCAGCGGCCCACTCCTGAGCGCGTCCAGAAAGCAGGGAGGTGAGGTGCGCAACCCGAGAGCGGGCAGTGGGGAAGCGTCCCGGTTGGCACTCGAATTGCATATCGAGGGAGGCGAGCAGACCATCTGGGCTCCCAACCTCTCCATTCCACCTCTCCGGTAGGCTGAACTGCGGCTCCTCCTTAGGTGGAGCGAGGGCTTGCTGCCGGAGAGCATTGAGGGATGTGGTCAACTGAAGGGTGAGGTCGGTCAGGCAGTTCACCTTGGTGTTGAGCCGATCGACCAAGGCGTGGAGCTGAACTATCTCCTTCTTCATTTGCTCAAACTCCGCTGGGTTAACGGACTCAGTCATCCTGTCAGACTGGTCGGCTGGATACGGGAGTTGAGCTTGTAGAGAGCGTTGTCTCACAGACGCGGAAGTGATAGCGTCGTTGAAACGCCGGCTCTCGGTTTAATCTAGGAATCCCCGAGCGTTCGAGCGTCAGTGAAGTGACACGGAACCACACACACACTTACAACCACAATCCCTACGCACACGCACATCAAAAGTGAATGATTCTACATTTTATATATCCATAAGGGTTGTAACTCTAATACACAGTGTTAATTGTACAATTGTTTGTGTCCTGAGCAGTTTATAAATTTAATTTTGAAAAATATCATCTTTAGAACCTCACAACTTCATCACAGACACAAGTGTGTGGACCCCCTGCAATCTTGTGGAGAACCCATTAGGGTGCCAGGTACCCAGGGTTGGGAAACACTGCTATATATGGTTTAATGGAAATAGAAGCCGTTTACTGTTTGCCCCTCTACTCATTTATTTGGTAGTACCTATGTAAAAAAAGATCCATTCCATCGGTATGTGACATGAGAAGATCTAAACACGTGTACTGATAATACCAATGATGTAAATTTTAACTGATCATTTGTAGTAAAGATTAACAGTTATGGCATGAAATTGATCACAAATATTGTAATGAAGTGCTCTGTAACAAAGGTTATGTGGATGCATTTCTTTGTCCTTGTTAGATTCAACGTGGAAGTTGTTCAACATGGTTTCACACGCTCTGCCTTGGAATGACTGCCTTCCAGATGTCAAGCAAAAAGACACCTTGGTGTTGTGACATGTGCAAACAGCAGCATGTAAACAACATGTAGGTGTTTGGTTGGAAGTGTGAACATGGAGTTGTACTGGACAAGACAGCACAGCTTCAAATTTATGAGCCGAGGACTTGATTGTCCTTTGTTTACATAAGAATGATGATGCACATTAAGGAAAGCAGCGCAAACGTTTCTTTCATATGCAAAGTACTTGTATTTTGGAATGGATAATTTATTATTTACAATTAGTGTCATTGTTCTCTATGTCACTTTTTTACTCATATCTGTCAAGTACTTGTATGTGTGTGAGGGAGGCCTATATGCGGGTCTTTGTTTTGTAAGTCTTAACACTGAGGTGTACTCTACACCACAGCATGACTGAAATGTTGTGAGACTATTACTTTACTCTGTCTACATCATCTGTTTACATAAGCATGATGATGGATATACTGACTGTCCCACAAACTAGGTACAGGTCTAGAGGTGACCGGGCTTTCTCGGTCTTGGCTCCTTCTCTCTGGAATGAGCTTCCACTTGATATTAAACTGTCACCGTCGCTGCATGTTTTTAAGAGTCGTTCGAAAACTCATTTTTATCGTTTAGCTTTTATGTGACTTGTATGCTTTTATGCTCCCTGTTTACATTTTGTATGGAGCTTTTATGTCTTTTTTATTCTATCTGTGTTTTTACTGTATTTTATGTTCAGCGCCTTGGGCTCCTGCAAAGGCAGTGGAAGGTGCTGTACAAATAAAGATTGATTGATGATGCACATTATGGAAAACAGTTTTCACTTTTGATTCATAAGCAACGTATTACTATTTTGGGAGAGTTGAGTTTGTATTTTAAATCTTTTTCATTGTTCAGTCAACTATTTGTGTGTGTGTGTGTGTGTGTGTGTGTGTGTGTGTGTGTGTGTGTGTGTGTGTGTGTGTGTGTGTGTGTGTGTGTGTGTGTGTGTAGTACATTTTAGTGTATGGTGCCTTTTCAGTTGACATATTTGATTTGTGATTTGTTTTTGGAGAAGCAGAGATGAGCAGGTGCATTGTTTTGATCAAATTATTTAACCTCGTAAAAACGTTCATATGCAAATGACCAAGTGTTAATGATCCAAAAATAAAAACTTTGACTGTTAAATTTTGAAAGTATTGATAAAGAGTACTAGGAAATTGGTTATCAGCAGGGGCCATTTGTGTGTCACTACAGTTTACAGTAAAATAAATGAAAAATCAGAGATGTATTTTTTTCACAAACGTACTTGTTGGAGTATGTAGAGCCGGTTACTGTTGACCAGCAGGCATGATTTTGTGACAACAACTTTTACAGTGTAGGAGCTACAAACATTTCAATGATTTAAAAATTCAACAAAAATCAGACAAGTATGTTTTCTAAAAAGTAAATGCTGTAAATGCACAGTTAGAGATTATTTTTTAAATATTCTGCAGAAAAAATACCGAGGTCCAGACCTCAAGGTCCTCAATGGTAGATACGGCCATGGTGGTGTCTAGTAGTGGGTAAATGTTTTGTTTTTACTCACGCAGCTCTACACAGATTTCCATGGGATCAGAAATCAAACCTGCAACACTCCTTTTATTGACTGGACCTGTAGGGTACAGGGTAGGGTACAGGGTCCTAACAGCCCTTACCCTCTGGGGGGTACTTCAGGATTATGGGGTACCAGGCCCTCTGATACGGGCTGTTAGGACCCTGTACGACTGGTGTCAGAGCTCGGTCCGCATTGCCGGCAGTTAGTCGAGCTCATTTCTGGTGAGAGTTGGCTGCCCTGATGCCACTGGGTTTGTACTAGGGATGTGACAAAATATCGTTTGGCCAAAACTCGCAATACAAAATGTGACGAAATGCATCGAGGTAAAAAAATATGGACCACGAAATTAGGCTAGTCGGCACTGCTGCATGATTTGTGTAGTAGTAGGGCAGGCCTACAGTCTATGGTGGCAGGCTGATAGCACCATCTCTGCTGATAAAGCAGGGTAAAACTAAACAAAATAAAATAAATTAAAAAAACATCCG